TAACCCTAGTTGTCCTAATTATTAAACTACTTGCTATTCCCCCTGACCCTCCAAGTATTCCATCCCCATCTATAGCCGAGCTCTGAGGGACTGCCAAAGTGGCTCATTCATAGATGAATTAATTACCACAGTCCCCATGATGGTTCCCTCTAGTGAGATTTTGATAAGAGATTGCATGTGCCATAGGGTATGGGATTTGGTTTTGATTCAAATGTTTTTGGGGTTCCTTGTGATTGTGTTCCTCTCTGGGATACTTTGATGGTCAAATTTGACAGCCAGCCATGTGAGTAGTGGCTGTGGTGTAGATAAGGGGGGTTCCTTAACAAGGGCCTTCTGTTTCCTTTTGCTCTCTCTCTCTCTCTCTCATATGTACGCTCAACACCAACATCGCAAATCTCATGCATTTGGCATGGTCGTGTGTCAGGCACGAATGGCTGAAGCATGGTGTGGATCTTTGCGCTGAGGTGGAGAAGACAGCTGGGGAGAAAACCACCCCCGAGAAGCTCGGAGCCAAGGAAGAGCGTATATTGGGGTTACATGGGGGATANNATAGTAATAATAATAATAGTAACTAGCGCTGCGTTATGCTGCGGTAGATAGTGCCAGTGGCTGAAATGTGGCAGGAGCATGTTACTGCGTGGTCGGTGCTCGAAGAGGAAACGAGACCCGGTTAAAGCTTCTGCTGCTCTACAAAGTTGATCAGAGCTATCGCGCAACCGGCCATACACATGCCCATCAAATGCATTGTGCAACAGATGTCCTGAGGTTGCCGCTATCTCCGAAAGCCAAAGAGGAGGCAAGCTGACTGCATCCTGAGCAGTCAACTTGAGCGAATCGGAAACGGTAAAGGACATGCAAATCGTCAGCTGGGAAAAGGGGAGTGGAAAAGAACACACGGAAAGAACTGTATAGGGCCAACATTATGTTTCTGGATTCCTTGTGAAATGAAGGTATACAGTCCTTTACCCGGACCTCCATACAAAGTCTGTTTTCCATAGCTGAAAGCCCTCGGTAACCGTTTGATTTTCCATGTCCTTTTCCGTGTGATTCTCCATTCTTGGGCAATTATCCTGCTGAGGTGTAGGTTAACCAACAGATGGAGTCGTGAGTGTTGCCTAACTCACGCAGCGTGACTGGCGACAGCTTTTGTGAGCAAACTACTGGGAAGCGTATTGTACCAAGAACCACGTATGAAGCTGCCTAAGCCCAAGCTCCGAATCCCAAACTGTAAATCCTCAACCCTGAACCCTA